CATGGCTTTTAGAGGAGTAAGCTCTTTTCTTTTTATCAGAAATGACGGTTGTCTTTTATTTCTTATCCCACTCCATCTGTATATTATGCGATTCGAATTCAAAATTTCTTAATTCTAAATAGAAAGAGGTGATTATAGAGTCATTTAAAATTTTAACAAATGATTCCATTTTTTAGATGTGATTACTTTTGGGTTTGGCCTGGTTCGAGGCTTGGAGTACTTCAGTTTATACTTTGATGATAACATTGATATGAATACCAATTTTGTGATTATCATAGTCAATGGCGGAGCCCTCGCCCCCTTGAAATTTGAAAATCTTACAAATTAGTATATGAAAAATTATCTAACCTCCCCTAAACTTTGAAAATTTTAATTTTTTGCCCCACCTAAAAAAAATTTCTGCCTCCGCCCCTGATCATAGTAGCTAATGTTTTAAAGACATATATTAAGAATATATTTATTGTAATTTTTTATTAATAATTTATTAAAATAATAAAGTTAATTTTTATTTTATTAGTTACTTAATTAAAATATTTTACATAATATTTAATATTAAAAATAAAATTCATATTTATAATTTTTAATATAAATTAATAATAATAAATATAATAAATATATCACAAATTTATCTATTAAAAAACACGTGTTAATTCATTAAAATAAAAAACACGTGTTGAAACAACTCGTTAATATTTATATAAAAAAAAAGATTGGCAATTTATTAAGATTTTACGTTTTATTTAAGGAACAATACTTTATGCAGGGTTTTATTCCTCAATATTTAATTTGAGCAAATAAATGCGCTTTCTTCATCAATTTTTAATCACAATGCATGCGTTTTCCCTGATGGTAAAAAAAGGAATTAAGAAGACGAAGTAAAGGGGGATGCAAAGCTTAATTAAGAATATGAAGTAAATTAAAAAATTTAACGTGAAGTTTTGTCAAAAAAAAAAAATCAAACTTCCAATGTCCAAGGTCTTCTTCTTATGCCTTTCAAAAAAAAAAAGTTTTCTTCTTATGGAAAATTGACGTCAGAACCGTGAAAAAATGCAAGAAAAATAAACTTTTGAAATCCCCTTCAAAAACTAGGTAAAATAAGAGATTTGAGAGACATAATCTTTCCAAGTAAATGCCACGCAATAAACAGTTACTAAACTTCATAAACTGCATGAAATTTTCTCTTTTTTTGGAAGATCTTTTTTAGAACATTCATTTTGGAAGATTTGAAGTAGATCCATCACTATCGTCTAGACTCACTGGGTCAGGGACCCCATGTTATAAAGACTCATTACAACAGTGGATCCGAAAGCAAGACAAGACGTGTCTGCCACCCACCATCAATGTTGGATCTTCACGTGATCTTTATAAATTATAAATGTAAGGATCAACCCTTCATCACCATTCACCAGCCACCTTTCACAAGCAGGCAGTGTCAGTTTCCATTTTCTACGAAGGACACTCTGCTGTGACAGTAGGAAGCATTTAGGTCTACCAAACCCTGATTTATGGGTTCTGTCTGTTTTTCCTTTGTGGGTAATTTTATCATTCTACTTTTGAGCTATTAAATCAGAGTCAGGAAATTTTGATGATCTTTTTCTGATTATTCTTGGGTTGTGCAAAAGATGTTACATATGTTTGTTTGTTTCTGTACTTGTTTCTGGACAACATTATTTAATCTGACTTACTAAAGAATCATTGAAATCTGATTCTCATATTTTACTGTACAAAGAATTTTGATTGGGAAGGGCATGAACGTTATAAATTCTGGGTTTCCTGGATCATAAGGTGTCTGTGTTTCTTCTTCTTTTTATTAATGTATTAGTTTGGTTGTCTAGTTTTATGAAAATTCAGGTGGGAGTCTGCATCAAGGGTTTTGGTTTGTAGATCTTTTTGGGGGGGTTTTCTGGTATCTGATTGGTGGAATTCAGTATTTGTGAGAAAGGTAGGGATTAAGGTTTAATATGAGTTGGATATCTGGAATACAAAGAGGGAGCACAAATGCTGTAAAAACAGCCTGAGTGCTTGGTTGTTTGGGCTAAATATCTGGTTAGGCTTAATTTCTACTGCTACATACATTGCTGCGTGTTTTCCTATTTTATAGTTCAGTACTTTTGATGAACAAAAAGGTTTGTTTGGTGTGCGCTATTATAGTTCTTTTATAAATTGCTTAGAAAATATCAGGTTATTTGACTGAGTTTTCATGAATTAGAGACTTATGTTTCTTGTTTCAGATTGTTGGGGGAGACATAGAGGGATTGTTGAGTTAAAAGCTTTGTGAGATTTTGGTATCTAAAAATGAGTACCAGTAAAAGTATAGTTTGGTTTAGGAGGGACCTAAGGCTTGAGGACAATCCAGCCTTATCTGCTGCTGCAAGGGAAGGTAGCGTCTTTCCCGTCTATATATGGTGCCCTAAAGAAGAAGAGCAGTTCTACCCCGGTCGAGCATCCAGGTGGTGGCTGAAGCTATCTCTTTCCCACTTGGCGCAGTCATTGAGGTCTCTCGGGGCTGAACTTACTTTGATCAGGACTGAAAGTACTCTTACTGCTCTTTTGGATTGCATCAAGGCAACCGCGGCAACAAGAGTAGTGTTCAACAATCTTTATGGTATATTTCTGATCTCTGATCCCTTTTTTCAGTTCTGCTTTTTATTTATATTTATATGAAGTTGAATTTCCTTTACCGAATCCTTTGGTGATATCCATCCTCTATCGTTCTTCAGATCCAGCAATTTTAACAGAACTGCCTGATGTTGATTTAGACATGCTTCGTTTTAGATCATAACTGTTAAATAAATTCCTGTTATAATTAGTTTATGGAAGAGAGTCTGTTTTATTTCTTTTGAAGTGCAAACAAACATAAGAGGCGTAGTTTTCATTGAGGAATTATCTAGTGATAGGGGGTTATGGTAATATATCTGCAAAAGAGAGAGTTCAACAACCAAAAACTTAATAAAATTTAAGATGTTATATACTGTTGCATAACACGGGAAACATGTTCATAAGCATACAGAAGAAAGCAAAGAAAACGATCTAAGGTCCTAATATTATTGGGGTTTTCTGTCACATCCAAGGTAAATGAATAGGTGTGTGTGTGTGTGTGTGTGTAAATATTTTGTCCATTTGAAGTTCCTTCCCCTTGCTGACTGTTTCTTTTTTGAAAATTCCTTCTTGACCAGATACCATTTCACTTGTTCGTGATCACAGCATTAAAGAGAAACTGGTGGAACTTGGCATTTCTGTGCAAAGCTATAATGGAGATTTGTTGTATGAACCATGGGAAATATATGATGAAAACAGACATGCTTTTACAACCTTTGATGCTTACTGGGGTAAGTGCTTGCGTATGCGAGCAGAGCCTGTTACACATCTTCCCCCTTGGCAATTGATTCCAATTGCAGGTAATTTAGACAGTTTCTTTAATTTGAGCCTGGTTTTGAAGGTTATTTAGTTACAATGATTCTATTTAGATATAGGATTAGTTGACGAGTTTTCATTCTTGTTAATGACAGGGACAGTGGGAAAATGCTCCATTGAGGAATTGGGTCTTGAAAATGAATCAGAAAAATCTAGCAATGACTTATTAGGAAGAGGTTGGTCTCCAGGTTGGAACAATGCCGAGAAGGTTTTTGCTGAATTTGTTGAACATCATCTGCTTGATTATTCAAAAAATAGGCAAAAGGTTGCGGACCGCTCCACATCCCTTTTGTCCCCGTATCTTCATTTTGGAGAGCTAAGTGTGAGGAAAGTTTTTCAATGTGTGCGGATGAAACAAATACTTTGGAGAAAAGAACAGGACTCTCAAGGGGAAGAAAGTGTAACATTTTTCCTAAAGGCAATCGGTCTTAGAGAGTACTCCCGTTATCTTTGCTTCAACTTCCCATTCACTTATGAGAGATCACTGATGAGCAACTTGAAATATTTTCCTTCAAATTCAGACTCAGGCCACTTCAAGGCCTGGAGACAGGGAAAGACTGGTTATCCATTGGTGGATGCTGGAATGAGAGAGCTCTGGGCAACTGGTTGGATACACAACAGAATAAGAGTGATTGTGTCAAGTTTTTCAGTGAAATTTCTTCTTCTTCCATGGCAATGGGGGTTGAAGTATTTCTGGGACACACTTTTGGATGGAGATTTAGAGTGTGATATCCTTGGTTGGCAGTACATCTCTGGGAGCTTGCCAGATGGGCACGAGCTGGATCGAATGGACTGCCCACAGGTATATTGTGTTTTATCATTTTATTCATGAACTCACAATTACAAAATAGCTAATCATATGGGAATAAGGTTTTCAAAATCTTGCAATTTTGCTGAATTGGCATAAGCATTAACTACTCATGGTAACTTGAGAATGAGGCTCTAGATCCCAATGTGGGTGAGTTTTTCCATTTTTGTCAAAGCACATTTGTCTTGGTAGATATTGAAAAACATTTGCAATTTGTCAACTGAAACAATAATTTTATGTTTCCTCTGTTTGAGTTATAGATTCAAGGCTCCAAATATGACCCAAAGGGTGATTACGTAAGGCAGTGGCTGCCAGAACTAGCAAGAATGCCTACCGAATGGATTCATCGTCCTTGGGATGCACCCCTCATCGTGCTTAAAGCTGCAGGGGTGGAGTTGGGTTTAAACTATCCAAAACCAATAATTGATATACATTCAGCTCGGGAACGCCTGACTGCAGCTATATTAAAAATGTGGGAAAGGGAAGCAGCTGCTAGGGCTGGGACTTCAGATGAGACAAATGAAGTTGTCTTCGATAATTTGGAAGGCAATGAGAATCCAGCTATTCCCAAAGTTATCCTTGAGGAAAATGCTCCTTGTCCGACCCATTCACCTAATGATCAGAAGGTGCCATCATTTCAGAATTGTGATAAGGCTTCATCTTATAGGAAGAGACCAAAGCATATTGAAGAAGAAGACAAAAATGATTCGGACAGTCACATGGCAGAAGCTTCTATCTCAAGAACAATCTCAACAGCTGAGTCTTCTACAACTAAGAAGAAGACTATTAGCTGAATATTTCAGTTCCCCATTCTTGCTCTTCATCTGAAAGCAGGCCCTTGCATGAGTATGAATCTTCTGATATTAACCAGTCATGACAAGAATGGATTGACTTGGAGCAGAGTTCTAGCAAAACTGGTAAGTGACTGCAGTTTCTTAGCAATTTACTATTGAAAGAAGCTGAAATTTTTTGTGTCATCCACTTCTTTTGTTCTTTTGCCTAAAAGTAGTTGAAATCAACACTAAACATTAGTTTTTCATCTTAGATTTTTTGTTCAGGATAACATTTCACGAATTTTCATGTGGTTGATGTTTATTTTACAAACTTTTCAAATTTATGAGACAGTATTGGTCAATTATAGATGTCTGGTGCTATCTGGAACAACCTGTATCCCTGTATGTTATAAGGGAAAAGTATACTAAAAGCTGGTTTTGGTTCTGTTGTGCTAAAATCCTGCATGTGCTGTACTTTTTTTGTGTTTCCCATCGAGGCCTCTCTGATCATTAGGACTTGATCATCCATAGATAGCACTGTTGAAAATTACCAAAGCAAGGGAATAACATTAGTTGCAGGAAATTGAATTGTAGGGGGTAAAATTATTGTGTGAAAAAAAATGAGAGAATTCAACAAAAAAAAAGCTTTTTCTGGGAAATGATCCAGATAAAAAATTATGGGAACCCAAGTTTCAAGCCAATTCAATGACTTGAAAGAATTTGTATTTTGAAGATAATGACGATGAGTCTCTGGAAGCACACTTGCATGCATGGTGCACACACTAACACACATTGGTAGGTATGATGCACATTGCATATAGTAATTTTTTAACGGTTGAATAAGATTTCATATGGTTTTTATTTTTTTATTTCTCTGCTCTGCTAAACTTGTTTGCTGGTTTCACTTGTTTGCATCTTCAAAAAAAAGAAAGCTCAGTAATGTGAAATTTATGCATCAATTCTATTTCTATGAAGTTTGAGCTTTTCTTTCTTTCGTTTATAAAATTTTTTTTTGAACTAGAAAAGGAAAAGCTAAAACAGTTTGCTTTAGAATTCTAATGCGTTTATTGAAACTTCATATTGTATATTTGCAGGAGCTATTAGATATTATATTAGTACAATTATCTCTCCCCCATTCTCAGAACTTTCCGTTGATCAGGAAAAACAAATGGTTGATTCGAGGGTGCTGCAATTTCATAGCAATTTACTTAGGTGTGGTATCTCATATTTGTGTGTGCTAATCATCAGCTGTTTCCCGTGTCTCCGAAGACAGAGCATGCAGCATGCTTCTTCCATCTTGTTAATATTTTATTGCTTTGTGTTTGTATATTCTTCTTTGGTCAGTGCTTGTGTTTGTAGATTTTACCTAGTGAACTAGACCACTTATGTTATCCAGTTTACTGTCCCTAGCATTCTAGCAACAAATAAGGGTTTTTCTTTCTATTGCTTGCTTATCTGATCTTCTCGGTTTGATGCCTGTTATTGGGCACAGGGTGCAGTATTCACCTTGGAAAGCTAGTTTGCTTAGCTATTGCTTCACCACGTATTTTTGTCCTTTTATCAGGTTTTTTCTTCTTTTATATTAACCATGCAATAGCAGCTAATTTCCAAAGTATCATACGCAACAGCTGCTAATTAAGAACTTTTTGTTTGTTAAAGAAAGTTACTCATTCAATGAGTAATTGTAATTTTTTTGAACATATTGGCCAGGGATGGTTCGAAACCGCCCAGGGGAGGGGGGAAATGCACCACTTACTGGCTTAATACCAGTGGGCCTCAAGGGCCGGGTGCATGAGTAATTGTAATTTGATAATAAAATTATCTATATTTTTAATTATAGATATCTAATTTAAGGTACACAAATGAAAACTACTCTTTCTTTTATTTTTTAATGGACATAACACTCAACAATCATAA